AATTTGTCGGTGATTATAGGTTGCAGGGCTCTAGCGGATGGAGGCAGGGTAAGAAAGAACCCTGCCGGTGATGACGTGGAGAGTCATCGGATCCTACGATTGACGACAGGCGAGGAAGCACTGTTGGGTTTTTGTGGGTAGCGAACTGGAACTCTCCCAGAAGCGGGGTATGCGCCATGCATTTTCCTAACATAGAAAAAAGGTACGAAAGAGTCAATCTTGTCATCAATAAAGATTTTCACTGTTCCAAAGGATTACACTCCGGAGTATTTGTTGATATTAATTTCAGCGTAATACCTTCAAGCGTTCATATGGGAACTTTTTTCTGTTGGGCTAACTAATGGAAGGCTAGGGGCAAAAATAATTTACTACGGATGAAAAAATCAAATGTCCAGAATATACTAAAGTTTACGGCGAGAGACTTATATTTTTCATTAAACACTTAACATTGTAATCTAACAGAAATAAGTAAAAATTTTAGAATCTTTTGCGAATATTGAAATATTCGAAGAGAACATTACAAAGTACCATAATCAATAATAAAATGAATTGTCATTTACAAGGTCCGTTGATGGAGTAGGAATTCCACTGCGGAGCCATTTTGATAGATTATGTTTTTAATTTTGATTTATTGGCACGCCGATAGTCTCTAGGGGCAATTCATTAAGAAGGTTACAAAAGCAATGTATTTTTAAGCTATTGTATAGCTTTAGCGGGCTTTGAGCGCGGTCACCGAATCAAGATATTCCGTAACCAAAAAAACCTGACAAGAGTGCATATGATATCAATAGAACACAATTTTCGTCATTCAAGTATCGATCTGAACGGCGCAGTGTGCTAAGTTTTTGCCACGGGACCAACGTTCGACGCATCACCGCGGTCGTCGGTTCAAATCCCGCACTCGTATTTTTTTATTTTATTTGCGTCGGAATCGTTTTCTAACCCAGAACTAAACCTAACATCAGTCCCTCCGTTTTACTCTGTGTAGAGAATGAAAAGGATACACCTCTGCCAAATCCAAGACTATTAGGATAACAAGGATGGGAATAACCATCCTGTGATAATATAAAAGCATCATAAAAATATCTAGATAATATACACATCCATATATATACATACACATACAATATACCCATATATAAATCATAGATTATTGTATTGGTAATTGGTTTGAGGCCCAGGTAAAGAAGTAAGACAGATTTTATAGAAATGCTTCTATACGAGAGTGAAAGGGTAGAATTTTATATGGGAAACCCATTTTTCCACACCGAAAAAGTCGCGGGCGCACCTTAGATTAAAACAAAAAGGGTAGATACGGTACGCTCATACTTGCATCAAACAAGAACTGATCCCACGGCAGCGTGAACGGGACGGCGAGATCCGCGTCACTGCATTACCGACCCGAACGAAACAGCACGTTAAGTTTCAATGGCAGCGCGAACGAGACGGCGAGATCCGCGTCACTGCACTACCGACCAATCACGCTACCAGTACTCGACGTCACTACCGAATAAGATTCAACACAAACAGCAATTTTTATGAAAAAATATATTTTATAGTACTTACGAATTAAAAGTGATGCCATGGGTTTTATTTTTAGTTCTTGAGCAATTTGAGCACTTTTAAAAACACACTTAGGCATTGTTTTATCATATAAACACAAAATATTAGCAATATTTTTCTTTTTGGCGTTCACATATACGTCGTTTGCATGTCAAGTTGTGACTGAAGCGATTAGGGTCGTGGACTACAATTCATGCGGATCACTTTTGTGAGGCGAGTGCCGTATCTACCCTTTTTGTTTTAATCTAAGGGTGGAACTGCCAACTAGAGTAGTGTGTTCCAACGACTATGAATCCTGCAAGACTGGAAGTCCAAATGGCTAAAATGTAGGATGTGGAATATATTGGAGGAAAATGACAATACAAACTTGCTTATATAACTTGTATTCCAAGACTTCTCGTTCGAATCTAAGGGGCGCACACGACGATTTTATTGAATTCAGATGCAAGATAACAGATCATAAACCTCAAACGTCATAATTTTGTATATTGGGTCTAGAGTCAGAAACATCCAGTTAAAACGACTCATTTCAAATGATTGTGAATCTTATTTCAATCACTACAATGCCAACTGTTAGTAGGAGAAATTCGAAATATTAGACACAATCATAATAATTCCATTTTCTTGTCTCATCTAGTTTAACTCATAATTCCTTGAACAACAATAATATTTTCCATACTAGATAGACATAATTATATGAGTTCAAGTAATTACAATTACTGTTTTAGTGTTAATTAGAAGGGGCTTAGAGTACTCCGTCGAATGATTTATGTAGCTATAGTTGGATTATTGTTAATTTTATAAGTAAGGCATAATGTGCGTACATATCTACTTACACGTTATTAACTATTATGTTACTATTATTTAATACGGTTAGAGTTTTCTCCAATAAAGTGAACTTTTAAATAGATCTTGCTAAATATGAATGCGGGGCCTAAACTTTTACCCCTATCACATATTCACTTTTAAGTTTGGAAGTCAACAAGAATGGAACACTATGCCCGACTGCTTAATTTGGTATAAGCCGCTCTGCCCGATTTGGAAATGCGCGCGAAATTCTTATTAAAAAAAACGAGCGAGCCTTACAGTAGTCGCGTACAATGTGTAACATTTGAAACCTAACCTTATATTAGTAAAAAAAGAAATAAAACCTACTACAAAAAGAATAAGCCCTTTGAACATTATGTTCTAAAATCAAATCAATTAGCGCGCGCTTTTGCGACTTCCTGTTACACACTTCCGTCCCATTTCACGAAAACACTACCACAAATTGCAGGAAAGCGAGAGGAAAGATGTTACACATCACAATTTTGTCATTACTTAAATTATGTATAATGTTTTCTCGCAAATATGTTGAAAAATGTTATATGACATTCGTGCGGATTGGTGTTACAAGCTCGTGGCTATGGTAAGCCGTCGGTTTCGTCTCGGGCTAACTCGTCTGTAATAACGAACTTACCGCACTTGTATCATAAATAACTTATTTTTTGAATTGGTACACGTAAGGTGAAAATATGATTATTTACTTTTTTGCCATGGTATCGTTGGGTGGGTAATTAAAAAAATAAGAGACTCCTCTAGCTTACGGCAAATTGATATTAGCCACCCCGTATTGGATAAGAAAAGAAAGTTTTATGGAAACATCAACTCAAATCGCAAGAACCTTGCCTATTTATTTTGATGCACCCATAGATAAATGATTGATCTATCTATGGTTGCACCTATCCTACCTCCTTAATATCAAAAAAGTTTCAAGTTCCTCTACGAAAGCTTTTCCGATGCGGATAAATCAATGAAACGCATTCGTCTTACTTGTTAACGACACGGAAACCTTAGGACGCTGCAAATAAGAGTTCTAATTAAAATTACCTATTCGATGGTGGCGAAGACGGCGGCACAACGAAACGGGGCGCAGAAATTATATCTCGGGGATATGAATGTGCGGGGCTTTAGTACAGTCTAAGAAAGATTTATATTAAAATTTTTTAAAGTGTATCTCAGAGGAGCTCGATGGCGCAAGTGGTTAGCGCGTTCGGCTGCGATCGTTGAAGTTAAGCAACTTTTGCAGTGGTCGGTCATTGGATGGGTGACCAAAAATTTACTATCTCGAGCTCCTCCGTGCTTCGGAAGGCACGTTAAGCCGTTGGTCCCGGCTGCATCTGCAGTCGTTAGCACCCACCAATTCGCACTGGGCCCGCGTGTTGGGTCGTGGCCTAATCTCCCTATTCCATCCATAGGGAAGGCCTGTGCCCCAGCATTGGGGACATTAATAGGCTGATGATGATGAAAGTGTATCTTTTATTACATCGCCCCAATTTTTTTCGTTCATCTTTAGGATGTCGCTTTCCATTTTTTAATGTTATTAAAAAAATCTGATCTCATGAAGAAGCATCGGTGCTTTAGTGGTAAAAAGCTGGTAGCAGGCCAGCTTATTAGCAGCTGCCAGGCTGTGGGCGGCCCGGATTCGAATACCAGAAAAAGAAAGAAAGAAAAATAATTTTGAGACAAAACAATAGTAAAAGAATAATATGCTGGATATAGATAATATATATAAAACTAAAAGGTGACTGACTGACATAGTGATCTATCAACACACAGCCCAAACCACTGGACGGATCGGGCTGAAATTTGGCATGCAGGTAGATGTTATAACGTAGGCATCCGCTAAGAAGTGATTTTGATCAATTCTACCCCCAAGGGGATAAAATAGGGAATGAAAGTTTGTATGAAACTTTGTCAATTTTAAACCGATCGGGCTGAGACTTTACATGCAGGTACATAAAAAGAATCATAGATAAATGTCATTGTGTTTAATACAAGCCTGACAACAAAAACTGTAGTCTACACTTCAGCTCTACACCGAAGCGAAGCGAGGACGGACCGCTATATAGTAAACAATATATACACTTTTTTTTACCAGCCGAGGAAAAACTTTTTTTTAAGTTTCCTCTTTTTATAAGCCAGCCATAGGTACTCAAACTACATTCACTTTTTTATATCTGTTTTAACTTGAGGCGATGTTAACAGTATAAAAGTTTCACTGGCATCGTGGTTTCATAGAGACGAGACTTTAATCAACGTATAGTTTTTTTTTCGAAATGTCTGCCGTGTGTGTGTCTTTTTAAATAGGATAGCTAATTTATTTTGTATATCTGCAAAAAAGTCTACCGAATATTTTTTGTCCATTATCGAATAATCAAAATTAAAAGTACATATTATAATAAAATAAGGAAACCAAAAAAAAACTAAATATTATTTCAGAGCGGACGTTTCACCTTCTAGTGAGTCTTACAACCGCAAGTTAAATATGTTTATTGGCATAATGTTATTTAAGTATCTAAATGTTACTACTTTTAACTTAAAGAAAATATCACTAGAATTTACACGAACCGGGCAGCAGACGGGACTCGAACCCGCACCCTTCGCTATTCGGGCAAATGCACTTACCATTATGCTACCGCGGCCCTGACAGCCATGTCGAATTCTTTCTAGCTTTTCTTATGCTACAAGGCAGCGCCATCTCTTCGCATTGTAAGTAACTCACATTGTCAAAGGAATACCTTTACAAGTATTAAACATTTTAAAGAAGAAATAGCAATTAAAGTTATAATTTTAGACGAACTGGGCGAATGCCTTCGCGCATTCACCCAGATAGCGAAGGGTGCGGGTTCGAGTCCCGTCTGCTGCCTGGTCCGCGTGGATTTTTTCTAGTAATACATATTTTCTTTACATTTAAACATCGAGCAGTTACATGCTTAAAAATAGAAATTATGACTAATTTTAACTTGTTCAACATTATATAAGAAGTACAGTAGTACTTCCTATTATATTTTGTTGAACAAGTTACGTCAATAATAACTTTTTTAATAAGTGCATAAAGCGCTACTTATCTGCCACGAGCATAGCTTCATATCTTTAAGCTTATGACTTACGAAGAATAATGGGAAATATAAGTTACTTGTTAATTAACGAAATAAGAAGAAGAACTAAGAAAATTACATATTTAATCATACTTTTAGCAAAGTGAACGAATATACTTTTATCTTGTTCAAAAAAAGACATACGAAATTAGTTTTTTTAATGCACACATCCCTAATTACAATATCAAAGATTATGGCTGATATTTTGATTTCCCTTTACATATTGTACTTAAATATAATTTTGTATATCTTCGATCGTTTTTACTACAACCCAAATGGCATCACACAAAATACAATGATAAAAAACAAACTCTACATTTAGTGAAACGGAAACCTCAAATTTGTACAAATATGTGTAGAACAGCTCTAATGAAGAAAAGTGTTGTAGAAATAGCTCCTAAAGTATATGATAAGTTACCTGACAGCATTAAATATTATAATTCAAATACATTTAAAAAAATACTGACGAAATTTTTAGTGGATTAATGTTATGATAATGTAAATGAAATTTAAACGGATACTGATATATCGGTTTATTAAATGTATTGATTCTTTTATGATTATGATTTTATTGAATTTAAAATGTAATGATTACAAATTTTCGTATGCTGTTGAGCATGTCATGGAGGCACATTTGTATAAATTTTAAAAACTTATTGTTAGCGATGACAAAGAATAAATGATTTGATTGATTGAGTGAAAAAAGGTCCTTATTGCAAATTGATTTAATTAAAATCAAGAACCGCAGCATACACAAAAAAATATTTCAATGTACATACTTTTTAGCATTCCGTACCCAAAGGGTAAAAAACGCCGCTGTCCGTCTATCTATCTGTCACCAGGCTGAATGTCATGAACCGTGATAGCTAGCCAGTTGATATTTTCATAGCTGATGTATTTCGGTTGCATCGAACTACAGCATAAAATCAATATTTAAGTGGGGCTTCTATACAACAAAGGTGATTTTTTGCCGTTAGAAATATTCACAGAATATTTAGTTGTATATTCACAAAAATAAGTACCTAATTACATTATAATAAAATTTTAAGAGTGGCTCTCATACAACATACAGGTTTTTTTTTATTTCTCGGTATTATAATAATTTATGTGTAATGTCGTATCGATAGTGTTACGGCACCCTTCTTGCGACGAGTCCGACTCGCACTTGGCCCGTTTTGTTTAATTTATGGCCACCCATATTTTTACTTAGACTAAAATATATTAAGTGTCTGACTGTACTCTTATGCAACAAGTTTGTTGGCCTAGATGGAAATCGAATATCGTATGTGTACTTCTTCAATTATGCAATCTTGACTGCAAACTTGTGGTGCCATACCATTGTACCTATTTTTAATAGAAATACACGTTCCATGAAAGTTTTGAAAATAGATTTCAACTCAGCCTGTCGCAGTCCACTGCTGGCCTCTCCCAATTTGCGTCACAACACGTGGTTCTCCGCCATCCGCATCCAGTCTGACCCAGCCGCCCTCTTCAAATCGTCGGTCCGTCTAGCTGAAGGGCTACACCACCCTTGGGTCCACGGTCTCCGCTCGAGGATTCGTCTGCTCCAACGGCCATCGGTACTTTGACAAATATGGTCCCACTTTAGTTTACTGATTCTGGAAGCTATGTCGACGACTCCAGTTCTTTTCCGGATAACCACGTTGTGGATTTTATCCATCAAAGACGTCTCGGTACTGTATGTCATGACAGGCAGGAAAAGTAAAAAAAAAAAAACCTTTAAAAACTGGATAAGGAAAGTCAGCCTCACTCACCGAGGTTTCCATACAAAGGACAATGTTAAAATTGGCCTAAGAACCAACACCAATTTGGCATTTATGATAATTCTTAGTATATTTTTTGCGAAAATTATCAGTATTTAGATTGTGACGGACACTTCCAGTTAAGTAAGCTAAATTAAAAAGTTGAAAAATAATCTGAGACAATAAATACCATTTTATGTATATAATCTATGGCAGCGCTGCAAACAAAACACTCTTTCTTCCTAATGCCGGCACTTCACTTGGTTATTCGTATTTGCTATTTTAAAACATGACATCAGTCTGTCCTTTTCATTCCTTATTAAGCATGACAAGGACAAACTGTTATCAAGTGAAGGGCCGGCATAAAACTCGTTACTCTGTGGTTGTGGTGCATGCAGTTTGCATTCGTAGTAATCTGTGGCATTCGTGCATTCCAAAGAGTAGTATAATATATACCGGAAAGTGCGTTCTCGTTTCGGATTGCCTGTTTTATGTTTTGTGTGTTTATTTGCGATTATTTTTCCTATAATTTAACTATTTGGGCTATCTAATATGCCATCGATGTTACCAAAGAGCAGAGCCCTTATAACCAAGTGCTAGTGAACCTGTGCCACAATATCCTTAGAGGATCATACTGCCAAATTATTCAAGAAACCCTGATACACATTCACGCTGCATATTTACACAATATACCTACATGTGATATACAAATAAATACAATAAACAATATGATACAATTATGTGAAACTAGTCAATAAATAAGAAGCAAAACTACAGTTTTTATTTTATTCATGATTCCTACCTAACCAAGTTTTTTCTATTAGTTATTCTTTAAAATCGCACCGAATAAAATGAATTAGTTGTACTATTAATTCACTTCATACTGAGTTTATACTAAATTCATAGGTGGACCTGTGTTTCATTGAATATTAAACATAACCTCAAAAAAATTTTAGTTTTCCTAATAATTTAAGTTCTCAGAAGTGTCCGTCAATAATCTTTGTTTATACAGTCATTTACTTACGATTTTGAACCTAGAAAATAATATTTCATGGTTGTTGCTTCTTAGGCTAACTATGTATGGACGCTGAACAATGTCCTTTGTATGTATGCAACATAAACGGAACCATAAAAGGTTTCCTTCATTAAAGGTTAACCTGTTCAGACACGCTGGCCCCTTCCCATCTCCATGGAACCAACAACAGAGCTGGTGCGGCTTGTGAAGCGGCTGAAAAAGCAAAAGCAAGCAAATACAGGGTTCTAGGCTCCGAATATGATTTTGTCCCATTCGGTGTCGAGACCCTTGGTCCGTGGGGTCCTAGCGCTTTAAGGCTATTTAAGGAAATAGCAAAAAGGTTAGTCGACATCACAAGAGACCGTAGAGCTGGCAGCTACCTTGGACAAAGAATTAGTCTAGCCATTCAAAGGGGTAACGCTGCCAGTATCTTCGGATCCTTGCCTAAAGGGACTCGTTTTAATAATATATTTTAGTTATTAATTTTATTTTTTAAGGTTTTTAGTTTTAGTTTTATTGTTCTAGTATTTATATATAGAGTAATTCTCTTTAAGCGCGCTGCCTTGACATTTAATAATTTAAAGGTTTCTATTCTGACAGATCAACAAAAGTTTGTATGCGAAGTCTAGAAAAAAAGGGTGATTTGTGCTGAAATCCAAATTCTTCACATAGATATTTTCATTTTTAAATTGCACCTTCTTTAGCACGGGTCGCTAAATAAAGAAATTATTCATTTATATTCTGATGGAATTTAAAGTTAGTTTTTCTGTATATATTGTTTATGTAAATTATTTAAGTATCAAATTTGTTTACTTAATTATGGCGTTCACGTTACATTATAATTTGCATACATTTTGTGGGCGTCTGAATCGCAAACACATTCGGACCCATATATCCGTCCTTATATTCAGATATGTTATGGTAACAAAGTACAACAAGAACGCTATGAAATAAACATGTGAGTCGACATTGTTACATTATTGATTACACCTCTTTATTGGAAAATAAGGAGGACATATTTTATCCTACATGTCTAAAAGTGAGATAATACGAGAGCTTTAAGGAGAAAACGTCCACTAATTTGCAAATGTTTGCGAATATAATGGTAACCCATTATTTTACTGAATATTCATAAGAGTGCGAAGACCCGGTCTACACACGACACGCTATACCAGGTACAGGTACGTACCTGGGCGTATTTCCCCGCCCCCCATGATAACGGCTAACTAGAGCCGAGGTCCGAGTCTCAGGGACGCCCTCCAGTTGAGCCGACCCCTCAGGTTCGAGTGGTCTAGAGGCTCCAGACGGAGAGGAGACTCCCCCCGTGGGGAGACGCCATCCGCCTGGAATACCTCTAGAGGCACTCGCCAATTCTCGGCTTGAGGTCCCCTTAGGATCTCGCCGTCCCCAAGCCCGGTGACGCTGTAAAGGTCATCTGCGACCAACAGCATACACACTCAAAAACAAAAAAAAATCTCAATATTCCAAGTTTTTTTTATCTAGGAAGTCTAGTGATAAAAATTATTAAATTATAAAATTCTAGGTACTTACTTGTCGTAACAAATATATTATTTTTCTCTATCTGGTCGAATGTAGGGACAATCGAACCAAGTGATTGACCTGACATACTTAACCTATAATTCGCTGAAAAATGTCAAAACAGACAAGTTTTCTTCTAAAAATAATTGCACTTAGGACCTTCTAATTACCCAAGTTGTATTAATGTCAGGCAAAATCTGTCTTTTCAGTGTAAATAAAAATATTGTTCTATTAATAACAACTTTGTTTCCAGAGATACATACATTAAATCTAATCTCTACCATATTGTATTGCAATGGTTGTAACAAATTAAGCTTATGGTGAATCAGGATCAAAATGGCTGATCGTACTTACTTAAAAATTGTTACACGGATTTATAGATATGATTAAATATACTGACCATAGTGGTACCTATCGAATTTACTCGTATGCCTGCAAGAACTTATCAAATCCGTGTTACCCGGAACTTTCTACAGATATGAAAATCTTAATGATTTCAATAAAAAAACTAACATCTGCCACTAATATAACACTTTCTAGCGAGTATGAAGCTATAGCTAATTTTGTAGTTAAACATTATATTCTTGACATCTAGGATCCTTACAGGTCCCATGGTCATCAACAATCATTCGAGATGCTGGTTATCTTTGAACCAAAAGTTTTTTTTACAAAATAACGAATTGAATTTTCTTCATATATAAAGACCTATAATAATTATGTATGTGTGTTCTGGTTCTTATCTTCATTAATAAATAAATAAATATTTCCAACACTCACACCAATCAGCCTAGCCCCAAAGTAAGCACTGTAAGGCTTATGTTATGGGATACTAGTGTAACGGATAGAATACATACACATTATATAAGTATATTTAATAGAAATACATATTAAACATTCATTACTGGAGTACAAATGCTCGTATTCATCACATAGACATCTGTACCCACTGAGACTCGAACCCGGGACCTCTGGAGACGGCGACACCATGAAACCCGGCGTACAAACCACTCGACCACGGAGGTCGTTTACTAAGTACCTAAGTCGTGAAACAAACAAGCAAACTTCCATAAAGTATAATTTATATTATATTAGTAAAATACACACACAACACTGTGTCTCAAATTAGTGGGACACGCACATAATACAAATAAGTTAACCCAAATTATTAAATATTCAAATTAGATAGGAACTTTGGAGACTCTAAAATGTTGAAACTACTTATACACAAATCTTAACAAAGTTATCGATTAAATAATGATTAGCAAAACTTGCCTACGCGTTAAACAATTTAGTATATTTAATGTGAATTATATTTGGCACGGTTGTATAGCGACGCGTACCCTTTATAAGGCCTCGGGACTCACTCCAGGAGCGTAGTCAGCCGACCTCCTTTCGCGGGACAACAGGACTTCGAAGAGCGACTGAAGTTCGAAATTTGAAAAGTATACTTTTAACTTTTTTCATTGTGTGGCCAGCGGGCTTCTGGATTATTTACTGCAGAATACATTCTAAACAAGGTGAGTTGAAATTTCAGTAATTTTCAAGTACGAGTTTTTAAACAATTTAAAGTAATTTTTCGGTAATTTTTAAATTCAAGATTTCTATGATGGTAAATGAATAGTAAAAGAAATAAAAAGTTTCTGTGATTCGAGTTTGAACAAGGTAGAGTTAAAAAAGTGGAGGGAAAACTATCTCACTAAAACAGTACAAGATCTGAGTTTCCCTCGTTTTTCCAACTTGAAAATAAAATTAAAAATAGAACAAATATAATTAAGTAGGTATTTAGGTTCTGATGAGCTCGATGGTGCAAGTGATTAAAGTGTTCGGCTGCGATCGTTGAAGTTAAGCAACTTTCACAGTGGTCGGCCATTGGATGGGTGACCAAAAATGGTCGCTTTTTTGATGTCGTTAGCACCCACCAATCCACATTGGGTCCGCGAGGTGGGTCATGGTCCATCCCCTATTCCATCCAGAGAAAAGTTCTATGCCCCAGCAGTGGGGACATTTATAGGCTGATGACGATGATGATGTTTTAGTTTCTATAATAGTGATATAATTATTAATTGACAAATTAACATCATACTTCTCTGCGAATTTGTGCAATGCCTGATTTACACTTCGGTAAGTACAGTAGTAAGTTGGAATTACATTGCGGACAGCGGTTTGTATCAAGAGTCCAATGCGCCTCCTGCAATGTAATTCCAACTCGCCACTGTACATACTGAAGTGTAAATCGGGCATAAGAAACAACTCATATAAATGAGAGAAGTAACAAAAAAAACGAGCGAGCCTTACAGTAGTCGCGTATGATGTGTAACATTTGAAACCTCACCTTATATTATTAAAAAAAAAGAAATAAAAGCTACTACAAAAGGAATAAGTCATTTGAAAATTATGTTCTAAAATCAATTTAAATAGCGCGCGCTTTCGCGACTTCCTGTTGCACACTTCTGTGGGACAGAAGTGTTCACGAAATCACTCCTACAAATTGCAGGATAGCGAGAGGAAAGATGTTACACATCAAAAACTAGACAAGTATTAGTCGGATTAGCCCACCGAGGGTTCCGTACTCTGTAGTTACGCAGCATAATCGGCCGTATCTTTTTTTACGTCAACTTAGAAGTTTGATTTTTCAACAGCTATAATGGACCCTAGATCTAAGTGAATGCTTTAAAATTTAACTCGATATCTCCACGCGTTCCCGAGACAAAGGGTCTTGACAGACGTAGCTAGCTAGCTACTAGCTAATGCGGCAGAAAATGTGCTACTTAAGCAAACCCCACCTTGTCAGCATTTTTTTTAAGTTTAAACGGTGGCAAAAACTCATATGGCCCGCCTGATGCTAAACGGTTACTATAGCCTGTAGAGGCTTGCGATCAGGGCTTGTTTACCGGTTAATTTTCAAACCTAAATCAGTGTCAAGTACATTAGGAGCGCTTTATTTAGGTTTGGCTCTTACTTTACCTTTAAAAAACCGGTTTTCCTAAAAAGCGCCATCAAATCGGTTTTGAATCAATTTAGCGGTTTTTAAAGGGTTTCATTTCGCTCTTACTGGGCTTAAATAAATATATAACTACAAAATGAATAACTTGACTCACTAGACGCTAGCAAACGTGTCAATAAATGCATAAATCTTTGAGCATTAACAAGTTGTTATTTAATTAGTTCAAACAAAACAAACTTCAAGCGATGCCGACGCGTCAACGTGTCGCTCTGGATTAAACCGGTTTATTAAGGGTTTAGGTACCGCTTTCATTTCAGACGCACTTCGAACGAAACCTTTACTAAAAACCGGTATTACCCTTAATTTACCGGTATTTTCGATACCGGTTTCAAGTCCTGTTGCGATATCAATAATATACCTGCACCGTTGTCTATCCTGACCCACTGACCCAATTCCCTACCTCGTGAAACCATGTAACTTTACTCACAGACAGAAACATAACACCTCCAAAAGGTCCCTTACTTCCCCAGACGGACGTTCCACTTCGAGGGGGAAATGCCCTCCTCTTGCTCTCCTTAATTGAAATGCTATATTCACGTCTGGACTTCATCGTTAGGTGGGGTGGAGTCATTTGTCGGACCTATCTATAAAATAAATAAGAAAAAAGCTAACCTACCATGGAACCATGGGAACGTTACTTAAGGTGGTACTTCAATGTGGTGTTGAGACGTTGGATAGTCTTCACCCCAGAAATCATCCTTTATAGGGATGAAAAGGCGGTAGGCAGTTTTGTATGGGAAATCAATTTAACCACGCAGGCAAAGCCGCGGGCACTCGCTAGTTTTTAGGGTTCCGTTGTCCTGACAAGGAACCCTTATAGGTTCGTCATGACTGTCTGTCTGTCCGTCCGACGTTTTGCTTGGAGACTATTGGCACTGGAGAGCTGCAATTTAGTGGAGGTATGTATTTCAATCATGCCAAAAAAGGGGTAGAAAAAATATTGGGTAGTTAGATAGGTAACGTAGGGTTGAATTTTTTTTCATCATTTACCGCGTCGTGTTTGGTACCGTTGAATAGTTCTTCAAAAATAATTTTGGGGTTGCTAAGACTATTTTTTGATTGAGGGATCCGTTTGCGAAATAATAAACTTTAAAGTGCTAATTTTTTAGCGTTGAAGACAAGAAAATTATTTAATAGCTAAATTGTATCTCTCTTTAATAATAATTGGGCTAGTATACTGGAAGCTACAATTTGAAGTAGACTTTTGTTGCCTTTTACTTCACAAATATAGTATTCACACCACAAAAGCACCATAATCCATGCATAATTAATATCTTATGTATTTGGGTAATACATCAAAAAAATATTGGTTCATAATTTGTTTGTATAGGATTAAAAAGCACAAACATTAATTTACAATGCGACGGCGGGGCCAGGTAAACAGTCTTATCGACCTAAAAATATCTTGACGTCCAAAGATTTAAATCTTTGTTAACTTTTGCGTATTCAAATAAAGAAAAAACCTAAATTGTTTTAAGTCTTTTTTCTAGACTTTACGACAAGAAACCACAATCTATAAAGTAATTGAAAATGGAAATCAATTCTTCTCCGCGATTCCAATTACTAAATTCTTTTTCCGAAACCGAACAAATAAATCTAAACAATTTGCTTTATTTCTGTTTATACTAAAATGTAATTTTCTGAACTGTCACTGTCACAAAAGACGCGGCAAGATCATTTTTGTGTCTGGAAACAAATTATTGTTCTTTCTATCCTTTATGTTGAATTTTCAACACTACGCGTGTCGAGTGGCCGTAGCTCTCGTAGCACAATTCTACGATACTTAGTAGTATACTATGTAGTACTGAATATGCTGGACTGTTTTTTTTTATGGCGAGAGCAATGTTTTTTTTACTGAAAGTTTTAATGTGTAATTATATTATAACATTAATGAATCTTGTAGCTGAGCAATCTGGGCTTATTGTCACCGTTGGTTCAGTCATCATTAAGTAAATTATTCACAGTTTATTCCCGAGTACACCTTTAAAAATAACATTAATTTAATATTATTATAGCTGCTGATAACTACTTTTGGTCTGTACTTCTTGTTAGCTAAAAGATGTCTGTAATAGGTGGCAGAAAAAAACATTGAAGAACGACTTAAAAGATCTTTTAAAAATCAAAGTTTATTTTCACTTCAACACGTAGTCTGGACGAATCATTTACCAAGTATATTTTTTAATAATGCTAATAATAAACCCTGTATTGGGTGGGATGCCCCGCGCTTATAATAAAGTGACTATCCAATTAACAGAAGGTGTCGGGTTTGTTGAAGAAATTAAATCTAGTGAACAAAATCGTTCGTCGATTTTTATTAGATCCAATACAAAAAGCAACACGCAAAGCGTCAAGGTGCGGATGGCAGGTAAAACTGATACACCAGCTATATGTATTTTTGACTAAACTCCAACGACACAACATCAGGACTCCGTCATTTGCTCGGACTAAAAAATAAATAATTAAAGTTTCGAATCACATGTTAGACGATAACGTGAAATGTTAGCAGGTAATTAACTAATTAGTTGAAGGTGGAAAATGTCTGCGATTTCTAGGCAATTTCCAGGTAATTGGCCTGTTGTTCCGCAGTGCAAAGTAACGTGAGGCGGAAGCCAACCTTATGCACACAACACAACACAACCAGTGTGTGTGTGTACCAGCGTTGCAAGATTTTTTTAGGAACTTTTAGAGTGAAAATAAAAGCGTGATTCTTTCGTCGAAAGCGGGGCATAGTAAATAAACGTATATAATCAAAAGTTATTGAATATTTATCTTCACGCGCGCCGGGCAGGCGGCCAGTCCACACTTGTCTGCGCTTTCTCAGTACGCTGCACGCACGGTCGAGTTATTCCCGAAAGGCGGGATTGAGCCAATCCCGCGCGGCACATTAAATTTTGATTTAAAAATCTGGACGTCGTCCCGCCAAAATCATGACGACCGGCAACGCTGGTGTGTACGTACGTGCACGGGTACAAAAATGGATCAATATGAGTGGACAATAAGTACGCGACGGTAGAGGGGTTCAAATAAATAAATCGTCAACCAATTTGCTTGATATTGTATGTAATTTATAATATAAATATAAAACTTTAAAAAAATTGGTATACAGTTAAAAAATATGTGGGTAGCCCAGTAGATTACCACTGATTTATAATACAATGTAGCTTATCCCGCGTTGGGTTGAAAATTAATTAATTTCAATCATTTTGAAACGTGCCAAAATAAATAAAATTACAGTATCACAAAATACTTCTTTCTTTTACGAGCTTTCTGCTGAGTACTGACTGACAATAAAATTATTTGTGACAGCCTTGACAGAATTGAATTCGAACTAAATAAAAGCCACAAACGCGTATTTTAAAATTAGTGGTGGCCGAAAAGGTCGAATATGAAACAATAAAAAAGTCGAGAACAATTGCGGCTATACCAAACCGTTTACCAAAAAAAAACCTTTACAAGTACAAGATTGTATTTTCATTGAAATATGCGTTGTTGAGCACAGATAGATTTATGTTAAGCACATTTCACTACAGGATTGTGAGATTTGGCATAAAAAAGTTAATATGGAGAAGGAACAAACAAGCTACAGCTTTAGTTAATGAAATAAAATAATAAGTAATAATTAACATTACACATATAAATTACCATGCGTTGTGATTTTAGCATTATACTAGCTTTTGCCCAGAGCTTCGCTCGTTTTAATATTGATAACAATAATTTGTAAACCTATTTTGATTGTTTGTGAATTGGATCCGTCGACGGAAGGAGATATAATACTTGCAAAAAGATAAAAAAAACAAATTTATCGGTTCCCTAATGTTAAGCCTCGCCCGGAACTAAAGATTCCTTATTTAACATCCATTATTATAGTTTTTTGTACTTGTTCGATACAATAAGGGACACAAATTAGAGAATTATTTACGAATGCTGTTATGTACTACGTTGTACATTCACATTACGTAATTTATATGTATTTCGCCAAATATAAATACGAGGATAATAGACGACAGCTCAAGAAAATTTAGAAACTCAGCGGGATATGAATTTCTCTGTTTTGTGTCCATGATTGTAAATATTGCCAGATATACACATTTAAGGTGCGATTCCATAAAAGCGTAGCTGTACGGAATTGAGCAGAGCGAAGCCGTCTAAATAGGCGAGTGTTTTATTGAAGCTGTGCGAATATGAGCAGTGCAGCGCCGAGCGAACTGTCTGTAGTGGAGATGAGCGGAGTGGAGCAGATTAAAGATGAGCTGAGCGGAGCTGTGAATGCATTTTATTTGCAGTCAGTCAATAAACAATTGAATAAAGCAATGCAACAGCGCCGTCAGCTCAACGCTATACATTTTGATATTATTCTGCTCAACTCCACTTGTTTCCACTGAAGCTGAGTGGAGAAGCGATGTGTATCTTGAGCAACGCGATTGATATTTTTTTAGACACTGACTGCTTAGCTTCGCTTTTAGATTGCTTAGCTCCGCGCATCTTAGCTTATATGAAAACGCAGGTTCATTTAAGCACGCACGCCTCTTTCCTGGTGCGTCAAACGCTCTTGCACTTAAACACTGATTAAAAATTTGTCATGAATTCAATTTATTTGATCATATGGCATTAATTTTAATGATTATATAAATTTGGTTATAACTAATATCAAAGTCACGCAGCCAGTAAAAATCCGCTGTACACCTGATGCATCTCCGTGAAGTCCCCATTGCTAGTAAGGGCACACATCCCCTCTGATGGAATAGATAGGTTAGAGTTGAAACAAATGAAGAATATACATGGCTTTACCCCCTTGGCGAAGCAAATAGCTTTGAAACTCAGCACTAAGCAAGAGTCCTTGTAGTTTGTAGTGTTGCCTTAGTTAGCATGGTATTGTGGTTTTGGAAAAGTTATTATGCTATAGCCCGACCGACGAGTTAGGAGAACAGAGTTCGCTGGCAAGGTGATGGTATCGCAGGTTCCTATATCTGCCTGCCGCACCAGATAGATATTACCGCCATCGCCAATAATACCCAATCACCCATACCATTACTTGATCAACACCAGATGAAGTGGAGTGGTAAACCGGAAAAACATATCGCCTTTAAAGTATCTACATTTTCCTCTTTCATGTCATTTACATCTTTGTAGGTTAAAGATCTGTATTAAGTTAGTGGTTTCTCGCCGCTCTTGCAACGTTTAAAACAATATTGAATCTCATATCACACAAATACCATTAATTCCCTACGTTAAGCACAGCCCATTAAATCTTGATTATCTTCATGGTTTAACGCAAAGTGCATATTGCACTCGGTGTAGTGTAAATACCTGACCTTACAGTGGTTTCGATAAAACAAATCATAAACAGTACATTTGATCCCAAGTTTACTTTTCAAGCTAAAGCGGGAAGCAGCTTGTTCCAATAATTTAATGTTTCTTGCTATGTTACTTTATAAAATAAGTAAATACATTCTATACTAAATATTACCTATTCATTAACAATTTTATTACTGCAAAGATTGGGAGGACATATCGGAGCATTCGTCTAGGGAATTAACCTGCACTGCACTTAATAGGAAGAATACCATAATGAAATATTTCTATGTGCACTAAAAAAGGAAGACTGGATTAGGTGTATGTTTTAGTTTTAAGTCCTCCCTAGACCAGCGAGGTACTAACTCGAAATTAAAAAATGTAAAATGTTTCTTAACTCAAGTGGAGAAAATCGTCTTTCCCACTCACAGATTCCATCATGGCCCCGAACCTAAGCCTGCTGCTGCTATTTGTTGCTCTTAGTTCTGTGAGCGCTCAGACCTTCCAATACTCCAGAGGTTGGACCAATGGCAAACGGGACGGGATGAAACGGGACGCCGCCGCAGCGAGGGAGATGGCTGCGCTCGAGAGGATCATGAGCCCTTGCCAAATGAACAAGCTCAAGAACTTGTTGGAAGGCAGGCCTCTCAATGACAGGGTTAGTGATCATACATATGACCTAAGTTTAAGAGAGGCTATAAACTTGCGGCCGGCCTGATTTTAAGCGTACAGGGGTTGGATGCTTTCTAAATAACTAAACGGCTGTTCCAAATCAAGGGAACTATCGCATCGCTCCTTAAATTATTGCTTACGATCATTGACGTATAAAGTCAATGCTTACGATCAATCGTATCCAACAATAGTTTATGCATTGATAAAGCCGTTTTTTACAGGTATTTTCTGTTTTGATTTCGCTCTAAGACTAAGAGATTCTAAGTACGATTTCTGATTGTAAATCTATCAGATAGTGGCCATGGCGTAAAAGTTGTGCTGAAGTTGTATAAATGTATTTTTTCTTCTAGTTATTTGGACCCTGTGATTACTTCGAGGAGGAAGAAATACAACCGAAGAGATCGAAAACTGACCACAGCGCAGACTCCTTGTACGAAGCATTCCAGTGAGGGGATGGATGGTTCCGTTATACATAATATTATGCGTTACTCTATGAAGATTTTAATCAATTAAGGACCATATGAACATATAGCAATTAAGTCGTTATTTTGTTAATACGCGTTTTGCACACCTGCTATTTTAGCTAATTACCAATCATTTCCCTGATCTTATTAAGGAATGATAAATTGTACTTTAATATGTCTAATATGTACATTAAAAATGTACTTAGGTAACTACTTATATTTCTAATGCGTAATTGGCTGGAATTATGCATTTTTGCTGCCCTTTTGATCTTTAATCTCAAATCATTCTTTGTTTGTCTACCTTGTTTGAATGATTTTAAATTAAACATTAAATTAATCTCATCTATAATTTGAATTTAAATTACAATAAATACTTTATTATGTTTTTAATAGATATCATATTAGTTATTGTAATTGCAATTTTATTTCATAATTGTGAGTAGGTTTTATGAACTTTCGTAAAATTATATTTTTATGGTAGGTAATTTATTTGAAACATTTACATTTTTTTTGTAATTTACATTATTGAAAACATAATATTAAGTTTACTAACGGAAAATTATTAAATAATTTATTATTCGCTATTTTAAATAGTTGGTAAAAGTCAATAATCATAAGTGAATGAAATTAATAAAAAAGGTCCCACCGTATAACTTTATATTTCTTATTTTATAAGCCTGATAATTTTTCTACATATACTTGCAAAAATACGTCTAAGTCATAGATGAATGATTGGTCTCGCTTCACTCGACGAAGCGAATCATTTATCTATGGTCTAAGTATCCCCTAGAAAAATACAATGTCGGTTTAAAGGGGGTTTATTTTAAATATAAAGTTGCTTCCTAAATTCTGGCCTAGGTGGCAGGATATTAAGCCTTAGTAATTACGATACGCCACTACTCTGCGGGGTGCAAATCTGTATCCCCGTGCGGGAGTGCAGATCTGCATCATCATACAGATTTCGTTCGCTGCATAAACGGCGATTCTCACACTGTCACGCACTACACTGTGCCAGGCAGGATACACCTAATAAAGAGTTCCTTTGTAAAGACGACTTTGAGCGGGAAATGCCAAAAAAAACAGTAGGAAAACAAGAAAGAGATAAACCGTTGCGGACTACAGAAAGGTAAAAAAAGTATTTAAACTCGTTGAAGATTTATATTCTTCATAAAGGCGTAAATTTTGAATAAATCACGTTACTAATATTGTAGCCAGCAATATTACGGTACCAAATATGATAACAAAGAAAGGCCAGACAAAAGTTTTATTTCTGAAAAGACGATTTTGAATCATAATCGAGAACTGAAGACTACTATCGTGTTCTCGCTAAGTGCCATGAATCAACCGGACATGGTGGTCAATTTCAAATTGGCGGTCTTGAAATTCACTCGACGCTATTATTATGGCCCGTACTCACATACGATATTACTCGATAGTTTTATTCTGAAGCAAATAAAGAAAGATTAATATGTGGACATCAACAACAACTACCTCAAAACTCTCAACTCGAAGGCTTGTTCGTAGGACGCGATGCGTTGATTTGTGCTCGCTTTAGAGCAGTGGTTCTTAACCGGTCGGACAAATGGTCCCCCATCACTTATAGGTTATGCGTAATAAATAAGTTACTGGTCCGTACTCCCATAGTATGTGAGTACGGACCATTAAATAAAGTTATACTTATTAAATAATTTAGAACTTATACCTATAACTATTTGGAGTAAGGAATGGATGCTGATGACACAAATAGTTAGAAACAAAAAACAAAACGAATTTGAAAATTATTACTTAAGATCAATCATGATGGATCATGTACATAATATATGATACAGATGTACATGTACATAAAAATTAAACTAGCCTTATATAAATCTTGGAATAGACCGAAAGTAATTAATTAAAATTAGTAAATGATTATAGAAGTAACAAGAATTACAAAGTAAACTTAAATAATTACCAGTTTCCTATGAAACCATTATTTTTAAAATATAATTTATTAATACTAATAAGCACAGTCCATCTTCTTTTAATTTCTACTATATTAGTAATTGTTTTGTACTGGCAACTGTTCGACAAAGACTGCCGTCCGACTTTTTGGCGGGATCGGGAAGCATCACTTTAGCAGTTTTGTTTTTCTTGTTAAAAATTGTGTTGTGGCGGATGTTAGTGTCTAATAATGGTGGATTATTAACCACTAAGTGTTCGGAAATATGCACAAGTGTTGGCAAGTGAAACAAAATAGCGGAAAGTGTCTTTCGACGTTCCCTCAAGAAGTCCACGGGGAGGTTCCAGTAAATCCCCACAGATTTACTGACACATAGGGAAAGGGGGATTGACTTGACTGCCTCTTACTTTGACTTGATTAATATTTTGACTACGAGTGCTATAGAATATGTAAATATTTTACACTTGACATTGGCTAAAAGCACAAACCGTGCGAAGCCAAATAGAAAAAAAAGACTGCCGTCCGAGTTTTTGGCGGGATTTCATCGAGTGCAGTTGGCTTCTAAATTCGTTCAAAGTGGATATTGTGGAATAAAATTGGTGTGATTTTGTGTTACAACTGTCTGTGCAACTGAAGAATTAGTGGAATCTTTGAAATATACGTTATTCCGGTCAAGTGGACGTGAGAACTTTATTGTAGTGTTGGCTACCTCACAAAAGCTTACCGGAAAAGCCAACTCGATACATTTCGTGCCAAACTCTCCAAGAAAACATTCAATAGAACACGCACCGACATTCTAATGTAATAAAAAACGAAGATTAACATTTGTATTTATGTATACGTACGACTAAAGGACTTGTATCCATGGTCATGAATAATTAAAAAAAAAGACTGCCGTCCAAAAAATTAAGACAGAAACATATTTACGTAACGAGGCGTGTCGTGATGTGCCAGAAGCATATCGTTTTTATCGGCGCGTCATGACAAGCACACATACGTACAGTTTGTGTATAAAGTCGTGACATTAAATGATGGCGCCACTAGTATGCATATAGCAACCCTATACAGTCGGACCAAAATGATTTTGATACTAGCAATTCATTCAAGTAAAAGGTAATTAATAAGTCTACTATACAGTCGTATTTTGTTTCTGTTTTATATATAATAGGTACCTATGCTTCTAAAAAGTTGAGCTAAGCATATTTAATTGAATCAGAATAAAATTATTATAGATAAAATAGTACTTTATAGAGTAAAAGTGTGTAATGTTGGTGATTACCGCTGATGTGCCATTGAGACCAGAGCCGTTAGGTAATCATCAATATATACAAGTATCATCATACGGCGTTTTTTAAGACACTTGTTAAGAAAATAATACTAAAAATCATTTTATAGTATATAAAAAGTTTATTTAGAGAAACAATTTGTAAATGTGCAGTTAGTAAAATTAGTGATAGGTATCTTCACTAAAAGCATCTGGCCATGGTTCTTTATGTGACCATTTCTTTCTTTGGTCGGCCTTGCCTGTTTTCCCAGGAGTTTCAAACTTTCCATCATTCTTAAAACCTTCGTTGACGATCCGACTCTCTGATTTTCCTGAAAAAAAATGGATGCGTGTAACTTATGTACGCGCGTGAGAAGTTATACTTCTTTAGCATCATTAAAAATATTTTTTAATTGCATGCAAATAATTAATAATTACAATAAAATAATAAAAGGACTGGAAAAGGATAGTTAACACAGCCAATTAAGTTCAGTTTTAATTTGAAAAATTAAATAAATATTCAAAATATTCAATTAAAATCACTACTGAATTTAAGTTATTAGTCCATATGTAATTAGCACTAATAAGTAACTAAAACACGTTGTGTCTATATAGAAACTAGAAACATGTGGATAAATATTATAAATATGAAAACAGTGATCAGAGGCGACGAGCGTGCCAACATTGTTTTTGACAACGCGATCATCTTATGGAGCTCCGTGGATCGTTCAAAGTACCTTTCGAACAGATGTCTAATAATGGTGGATTATTAACCACTTAGTGGTTAATATATATACTAACATTGTGTTACAGTGATGCGCGCGCATCTCGAAATTTCACTCACATGATTTTTTCATAACGCGCCCGCGGCCAACTTCATGCTGTTACTTTTGGGTTACAGTGATGCGCGCGCATCTAAAAATTTCACTCTCATCATTTTTTCATAACGCGCCTAAAGAAGTATAACTTCAAAAGTAAAAAAATATGTAACGGAATTAAAACAATAACTTAATGACATGAAGCAATTAATTCAACATTGGTAGAAAACCTGACCGAGTTGAACCATAATAAAGTATCAAAAGAAATGGTCGTACTACAATATTACCTATTTACAATGTCAATCTAACCTAAAAATGTGCAATGTAAACAATGCCTTTTTTGGTCTCAAAATCGTAAATTGAGTAAATTTGTAACTTCAGGCAGATTACAAACAAATAGTTACACGATTACATACCCGTCATAGATGCTGTTCGCCCATAAACATCATCCAAATCCCACAAAATTCGTCCAGCTTGGTAGTCTTCGAAACATCGCTGGAAAACTTTAAAAATCACTTCCCGCGTGCCACTACGATTTACTTTACTCATTTTTATACCTTTCTGCGTACTTTCGTCTTAATTTATTACAGTTTAATCCAAACAATAAAAAATACAAAAGGAAAACTGTTCCACAACTGAAACTCGATGACAGCTGATGTACATAAGTTTGGTGTTGCCAGACACATGAATAATGTTAGTTCCTCAAACATTCATGTCACGACTTTATAGACAAACTGTACACGCACACACTACACGTAAATATGTTTCGACCTTCAGTCTCTCCCGAGACTGTTTTTTCTTTCTTTTTTAACTAACAGAATCTAGATCCTAACTACTTTTGTTAAGGTTTACATCGAGTAAGCATTCCTGTTGCCGTTCGGTATATAACTTCTTTGGCTATACTAAAACAAGACAAGGACCGCGGGACAGCATAGCGAGATTCTTCATCTAAGCGAGGGCACACAAAAAAGACGTAAGACTATCGTATGACACAGCAGACGGAGTGCGAACATTGGTGTCGATTCTGGCATGACGCTCTAAATTTAAAACTAAATTTAATTGTATAGAGAATGACAAGAATACACTGATGTCGATTCTGGCATGGTTCTCTAAACCTAAACTTAAATTTGACAACAGTGCATCCTTGTCCTTCTCTATACAGAATGAAAAGGTGAGACTGACCTTTAATTTAGTTTTAAGTTTAGAGATGCACGCCAGAATTGACACCACTGTTGTCAATTTATGTTGTGGTTTAGAGAACCCTGTTCGAATCGATACCATTGTTAGTTTCATATAAAATGAAGTGGCGTCGTGACCGCGCCCTATATTTTGTGAAGAGACACATGACGTGTTAAGTGTCCGTGTTTTCTATCTATCCTTCGCCTAAAAAATAAAGCCTGTTATCGAGAAGCATACCAGATCAGACCTATTTGTTAACTTACGGTTGTGGACTTTTTGGCGGGATCGGGAAGCGTCACTTTAGCGGTTTTGTTTTTCTTGTTAAAAATTGTGTTGTGGCTATAGATGTAAAACAACCGATTTAAAACGTTTTAAACCAAATGTTGCCGTTTTAAACCCCAAATAAATCGTTTTAAACGGTTGAAAACTGGCATACTAAAATAAAGGAACTATGTTTTTTTACACTTCATTATGGTATTTTTTTTTTAATTTTGTACTGATTCTTTACAGTCATCATAAATAACAAACCCCTATGATAAAGATACAAAAACTACATGCGAACGTACCTACAATCAGGGGGCACTTTTAAAAGCACGTTTTGACATATACAACAAGATACATAGAGATGTTATCTGTTAAAATGGGCTTCTGACGTGATTGTACATGATGTAGCTGTTATTGTCAGCAGACTCCATCCATGCCCCAACCTACCCCCTGTTGTATTCGCGCCTGAGAAGCGTGCGTGCGCGGCGCGGGCGGCCGCTAGTTAGGCTTGTTGAAAATATATCGATGTATCGATATATCGATATTTTTTGTTCGATATATAGATATTTTTTGCCGATATATTTTGATTCGATATATCGATACATCGATACAAAATAACCAATATCGAAATTCGTATCAAAAACGATATTTTTTTAATTATTAGCGGCATATCACGATCTAACTAAATTCGTATCTGGAAAAATCGTAACTGGATCTCAGATTAATGATATTCAACTTATCTATGATATGTGCTGTATTTAGTATTGTCTATTATTTGTAAATCTGTTTTGCTGGTGAATTGGTTGTGCTGATTTCCATTATATTCTGTGAAGTGTGTGACTGTCTAGTCTTGTTAACGAAAGAGACCCTGCAATCATTTACCTGAGAGGCCCTGCAATCATTTTCATCATTCGAAAAGGGTCTATTTTTAGGGAGATAATTTTCGTTCCATTATTATTACGCGTGTCATATTTCGTGAGCTACTGTACGATATTTTTGGGAAAATTGGTCCGATATATCGATATATCGATGTTTTTTTCGCGATACATCGAAGCCGATATTGATATTTTTTTTAAAATCGATGTATCGATATATCGATATTTTTTTCAACTTTCGACATCCCTACCGGCAGTTTATGTATGTGCATGCGTGTGTAGGGTAGGCGAGCTGGACACGTTTGCGTCGAGTAACGACGAGTGACGTCAACAAGAATGCGAGAGTGTGAGTTTGGTTTTAAACCGAATCAAATTGATTGAATTGATTTATACCGTTTGAAAACATTTTTTTTTATTTACTAACACAGAGTTTTTAACTTATGATAAGAGTTTTTATAACTTAGGTAGGTAATACCTATGCTTGGTCGCGGATGGACCATCTAGACTAAACTCGCTAAGTATATCAATATCAGTAAGTATATCACACATTAAAAAAAAAATGGGTGCGTGTACTTATGTAGGCGCGTGAGAAGTTATCCTTCTTTGGCATCGTTTAAAATTAGTTTTTAATTGCATGCAAATAATTAATTACAATAAATTAATAAAAAGTCTGGAAAAGGACACAACCAATAAAGTTCAGTTTTAATTTGAAAAAATAAATAAATAATCAAAATATTCAATTAAAATCGCTACTTACTTTTAACTGAGTTTATAATAAAAAAAACATGATTTATAATAAATATCACGAAAAATAAAGTAATTATCATTACAGTATTGTACGAGAGTATAAAAACGCATCCTTGAAGATTCCAGGAAAGATTTGTGGATTAAAAATGCCGAAAGAAATTAACCTACGCAACTTTATTACACTTATTGATATGTTGTATTAGTTTTATGTTTATTACTACATTGTAATACTAAATGCACTGTATTTACATAGATGCCTTGTCCTTTCTCTGCTCCGCAGAGCAGAAATCGGGGTTTAGTGCAACAAATTCACCAACCATCAATGCGTCAATTCTTGGCAGATTTGTGCTTTCTGCTTTCACAAAGCCGGCATCCATAATTAATTTTGTCAAAAAAAACTACGTTTACTGTTTTTTTTCTTTCCTAAAGTTAAAAGTGTTTTAAGATAAATTTAGTCAGACGAAAGAATGCACCTACAGTAACACGCGAATGACATTTAGTTGTTTACCACAAGAGACGTCAAAATCATGGCGGATGTGGCGAACAGCGTTTTTAGTGTTTAAAAAATATAGATTAAAAAATATTTTTATTAAATTAAATTTCTACAGCAATCTTCTGCTTTTATGAAGTGAAATCGATATATTGAGGTTCCTTAGACTAAATACTTTAAGAAATAAACATTTATTAAATACAATTCGACATGAGTAAACTAGCCTATTCTGGCGTGATTCTCTAAACTTAAAACTAAATTTAACATCAGTCTCTTTTTTTCATTCTGCATAGAGAATGACAAGGATATACTGCTGTCAAATTTAAGTTTAGGTTTAGAGAATCATGCTAGAATCGACACCATTGTAGTTATAATTAAATAAAGCGCGAGAAATATACAGTGTAGTTAAAGCAGGGTGGCCATAGTGGCAGCAGGCAACCTGCTTAAACTACATATATTTCTCGTGCTTGTTTTCTGAGTCTGAATCTGAGTGCACTCTGGCCGTACCCTAATATTTGACCACGAGTGCTATAGAATATGTAAACATTTTACACTTGACATTGGCTAAATGCACAAACCGTGCGAAGCCATATAGAAAAAAAAACTTACGATTGTGTTTCCGAACGGTAAATCCATAGACAAACCATGACTTTGTATGTTTTAAGGCTCTCCCGTGCGTTATAGGTTGATTATGGTGTCGATTCTGGCATGATTATCTAAAACTAAACTTAAATTTGACAACAATGGTGTCAATTCTGACACGATTCTCTAAACCTAAACTTAAATTTGACAACAGTGTATCCTTGTCATTCTCTATACGGAATGAAAAGGAGAGATTGATGTTAAATTTAGTTTTAAGTTTAGATAATCACGCCAGAATCGACACCAGTGTATCTCTGTCATTCTCTATAGAGAATGAAAAGGACAGACTGATGTTAAATTTAGTTTTATGTTTAGAGAATCTTGCCAGGATCAACACCTTCCTCGATTTTGACACAATTCTCCAAACAATAAACATGCTCTAAACTTAAAACTAAATTCATCACGATTTTCTCCTTTTCATTCTCTGAAGACTATAGTAAATACGTATTATTGTCAAAAGTAGTGTAAGGATTAGAGAACCATACCAGAATTAGGCCAAATACCAGATACATGGAAAACAGTTTCGTCCGTCATTCAGACTGTCAAACTTATGGCTCCGTCCATTAAGATACTATGTCTATGATTTTTACAAAGAAGGCGGCGTTAGTTCCAAGTTTTGCTACATTCATAAAGATCTTGGGACTGTAAGCTAATCTGTGTTACTAATTTTGCTCTCACTCTCTTTTACTCACTGTGATTCATTCTGAGATGACTCGTTTAATTAATATTGATTCCAATTAATGAAGTATTATACTATCTAAACTGTTATATCGGGGAATACGGAGTTCTAATTGTCAGTGATTGTAATTCTATAATATTAGCTTCCATTAACCTCTAACCATCACAAAAAACGGCTTGTATTCCCGTGGGGAGCGCGGCCCATATGGGCCGTGTGGTGTTAAGTGAGTTAAGTAAGATAAAAAATCATACAAGCATCATAGCGTGCCGCGACCCGCGAATATAGTAGCTACTCCATTAGGGCTTGAAAAATTGTATGGTCTTATCAAAAAATAAGGCTTGAATATTGTTCAATGTCAAAGTGTCACTAAAAAAACTTGTCACCGTCGGTAAAACCAAATTTTGTCCTTGATGTACCTACTAACGATATCGCAGATTCATAGATGGGCGTTTTTAGATATTTGTGACATTGATGCGCATCGATATCAGATACATCGCATCCGATGCGCGCATCGATGCCAACATCGGTGGCAAGTGAATTTTAGTCTAGCTAGTATCGAAACATCACAGGATGCGATACGAATTACGACAGATGCGTGTTTTGTGTGGGTGTGTACCTATGATTCATGAATCATGACTTCAAAATGTAATCGAAATTATTTATTTATTTACTTTAAAAAGTTGCACTCAGAGCGTAGGTTTTGAAGTAGTCCAGAGCCAAAAACTTTTCTGCGCCAGTGGCAAAATTTGAACTACAATTTATCTATAACATTTTGTCATTTTTATGACATATTTGTGACGAGCGATATCTCTACCGGCACAGATAAATTTGTGACACTGTAGCTATGGTAACTGTGACAGAAACTAGATGTCATCGGCGTCCCATAACGGTACCCAGTCGCATCGGATGCGCGCATTCGAACTTGGCATCGTTATTGTGCATCGTTATTCTATAAACGCCCACCCCTTACGCAGATGTGCATGGCATCGCATGCGCTTCAATACAAATGTTCTAATTCTAAGAACTGATATCGGAATATCGCAGATTGGAAGAACGCAAGCGTCCTATTTATATTTCGTCCTAATAATAGAGCCCGCAATTACGCTTCCGTTATTCTTGATCAGTGGGGGAGAGCCTTTATTTGATTGTTCCATTCACAAATCATTCGGTCGTTTTCATATATTCGTTCAGTCACTAGCATTGATTTACTTATTCATTCATTCAAAAAACCAAAACGTGAAACGTGAACGCGAGTCGTGGAAACATGTCTGCCGTTTGTGTTATTTGACGTAAATATTGGCTATAATTTTAGTTCCAATCGAATATTTGTACCTAGTGATTTTTGGTGCTATCTCTGTTTTATAATGTGTGCAGTGGTGCAGTGAATCGTTCATATGAGGTTGTTATACAAAACTGGTCCAATGGAGTCACTGCGAAAGTGGTTTTACAAACCAAAGGTACGTCAAAACAATTGTAATTTAGATTTCTATAGTGTGATTTTTGCAAATTTTTGCCCCTCGTCTAGTTAAATCAATAGAAGTGGCAGTGAGGAATGTCTATATTTTGATTATTCACAGTTTAAGCATCGAGTTTACCACTTTTCAATCGGACGTCCTTTGTTGATACAATATTGGTATGCATCAATTGCTGTTTCTAGTTGATTTTCCTTCTACCTACCATTGTTCTGATTGTTAGACGTAACGCATATTTCATTTCCTTTTTCATCGGAATTAATGTCATAAATAGTAATAAAATATGACTGTTTCTACCTTACGTCATGATTTTTTTTGGTTTGTTATTATCCAAATCGAAATAGTTGTACAATTTCAATTCTGACTGGGTGTTTATATACATACAAAATTGAAAATCTCGTAGAGCAATAAAGATTGTGACAAAAAACTAGCTTACTATTGGTTTCCATGAGCTAGGACAGACAGGAAAGTTATTAGTAATTGAATTGTTGCCATTTGCCATAGACCTTTGAGTACATTTACAAAGTAACTTTTTCTTTATTTACGAAATAAGGTGCAAACAAGCAAATTGCCCACCTGTTGGTTATCAGGTCTTAAAATGCTTGCAGTAGCGAGCCATCCACTTTTGTTTATTCCTGTTGGTATCTATAATACATATGGATGAAATGGTAGTTGATTGATTGCTCCCTCTCGCTCATCGACTACCAATCTGTATGGATTATAGATTAAAGCAGGAATGAATGTTAGTAGATGGCCTGCTAATGTCAGAGTGTCACAGACACTTACTCTTATACTACTACCAACCCTCTACCCAATGAAGCTTTGCAAAAAAAATAAGAGTCTCACTAAACATCCTATTTTGCTAGAAACTACAAATGAGCCATGTCCTAATGTGAATTATCAACTCGTGAACCTAGAAAGTACAGATTAGCCTCAAACTTTAATGTGGGTTCATCATCATCAGCCTATTAATGTCCGAACTGCTGGGGCACAGGCTGAATGGAATAGGCAGATTGGGCCATGACCCACCACGTGGGCCCAGGGCTGGTTGGTGGCTGCTAACGACTGCAGATGCAGCCGGGACCAACGGCTTAACGTGCCTTCCGAAGCACGGAGGAGCTAGATATAGTAAATTTTCGGTCACCCATCCAATGAACGACCACTGCGAAAGTTGCTTAAATTCAACGATTGCAGGGGAACGCGCTAACCACTTGCGCCATCGAGCTCCTCTAACGTGGGTTAGTGGAACAAATTTCATTTGCTAACAAAATGCCTGCTTTTCCCTTCCTGCTTAACCATGTAGTTAGTGGAATGCTTTATTTATACTAGATTTATAAAACATTAGGATACTTCACCCTCATTTTCTTTAATATTGTAGGTAATTACCAATGCGAAGGAAAAAAAAGTGGGAGGCATGTAATAACCTTTCCCCCAAAGGTCTTTCATTTTATTATAGCCACAGCTATCCTGATACGCTGTAGGTCGCCTGAACAGATCTTCATAAATTATAACTAACAACCATCATCAATAAATAAAATATTGCATCCAAAATCAGTTGGTCAATTTGTTAGGAGCTCTGATTCCAAAAATAGAAAAACAGATACATTTAAAACTTTAAATGTATGAGCGCCTGGGGTACCTCGGGGGGTTAAAAAAAAAATATAAATATTTTTAACACTCACACCAATTAGCCTAGCCCCAAAGTAAGCACTGTAAAGCTTGTACTATGAGATACTAGGGTAACGGATGGAATACATATACTATGTATATATAAATATATTTATAATGAAATACATATTAAACATCCATGATTGGAGTACAAATGCTCGTATTCATCACACAAACATCTGCGCCTCCATTGGGATTTGAACCCGGGACCTCTCGAGTCGGTCACACCATGAAACCTGGTGAACAAACCATTCGGCCACGGAGGTTGTCGAAAAAATATATTTAATTGTTTGTTGCAAAACATGTTCTTTTTTATTTTATCAAATATGTAGGTAGACTTGTGAAACTCCAGCAACTTTACTTGTTTTTCCACATACAACATAGACATTACCAAGCTATAGTCAAAATATTTACTTGAAGTTCAGAAATGTATGTATTGAAATATATAAAATAATGACTTAGTCACTGTATTATAACAGTGGTTATTTCTGACAACAGTAATACCCAGAATTGACAGCCATCTTCATAAACTTTTGTTAATGGATAACAATATGATATCAAAACAATGGTTGAGCAATGGTTTTCATTCTCTGATCATCACTTATCATCATTGTATAGATAAGTGACCTTTTCTCTATACCGACCAGCATAAACAAAAGTTACCAATGTTATTGAGATTGTTAATTGAATGACTTAATAATATCATATAGACCACCATATTAAATTGAATGTTAAATTGAATTTACTCAATTTTCTAATAGGTATAGGTATGATATCAGTGTTTACTGTACTACTTTGAAAATAAGATCAAGAATGACTTGTTTCTTTCATTATCTAAACAATCAATATTGTCATACTAATATCCTTCCATACTTTCAAACTCATATTATAAATGTATCTATTTGTTTGTCAGTCTACCTCTTCACACTTTAACCACAAAACCAATTCAGATGAAATTTGGTATAGAGATAATTAGAGCCCTGAGAAAGGACATAGGATAGTTTTTATCCCAGAAATCAACCATTATGGGGGATGTTGAGGGGAGGGGGTACTAATACTTTTCCACTCAGACGAAGTCACAGGCACACACTATAAATTACACTTACTAGTAAATAATATGATTGTTTGTTAACTTCTGTATAAAGGATATGTTGCATTTTTCAAAAAAATACATATTATTAGTTTCTGCATAATTATTAAGCTTATACATGTAAGAATCACAATGAAAGAAAGCTGAAGAAAAAAGATATTTTGCTCTGAACATATATTGGTTATGTTATTTTGATATTTTTATTACATATTTACTATTGACATTTTTATTACCGACAAAAGTCAAAACCAAAATTTTCAGTAGACTAAAAAAACTGATTGGAGCTGAAATTTAATACTTAGGTGTGAAATCAAATATGCAAAAATATTAAATAATATGTTACACAATAGATTACAAGGTAAGTTTATTGAAACAATAACATCTCTTTGATAGAGATTTTTTTTTATAATTTAAGACAACTGTTTTTTTTTGTGTTTTAAACCCCGCTAGTATTTTTCTGACACAAAGCTGATTTTCCGTTTAAGATTTAACACCCTTCACTAGCCTATATATCCCCATAGAATATTTATTCTATTAATTACAATAGTTAACACGTCAATCTGCATCTTCATATCTACAGTTAGAATGTACACCGCTAGAAAGCCAGACAAAGAAAACAAAGAATATTGCTTTAAAAAGAACATTTTATTAGCTTAAGTAGGGTATAACATTATAAAATATTATGGTAGCTACTGAAAAAAAGAGTGCTCTGTGACATTTGGTAAGTACACTAAAAGCAAAGGTTGTCGTAGAATGAATGGTAATCTCGATGCATGTAAGGCTTAAGCAATTCAAGTTGGTCGACTTTGCTTTTTTCTATTTTTCTAGGTCTTTTGTGTAACAGTGCAGGTGATGGATATAACTCAGGTTTTCTTCGTTGTGGTAGCAATACCCAGTCATCTTGGTGAAAAAGTTTAAACCAAAATTTGCCTTGTTTATAAAGCAGTGCCTTAATATCTGTGACAGTTGGATCCCCTTTTTTTTCCATATATCCAGCCGAATAGAAGCAAAGTTACTTGGTAAATCGTCATAATTTTTGAAGAAAGTGTGGTCAAGGTGATTCACTTTGTACGGCTGTGTTAGTCTTGCTTGACGGATCCAGTTGACATAGTCGCCAGAGGTATATAGTGGTGGTTGAAAAGGTTTTTCAAGAGTAGAGTGCACACTATCCACCTACATCATTGTGTCTCTTTTCCAAAATAATTTGGTGGATGATTATCAATTCTTTCTTGGAAATGTCAGCCAATGCACTTGCTAAGACTTTTGTTTTTATTCTGGTATGCACAGCCATCTGATATTAAACCAAATTTTTGGTAGCCCTTCCATTCTTTTAGTTTTTCTTTAAAATCAAGTAACTCCAGTAACTCCACTGTGTCCTTTGTGGCAGATATAATCAATAACATCTTTATTATTGTTAATGTATATTGTAAAAAATATGTATTTGTAGTTTTTCTTTATAGTATTGTGCTGACACCAATAATTTCGGGCATTGTACACTCTGCAAGTCCATCTTTGCCACACAATATTCAGATGAAGCTTCAGATATCATACGTTGTTCTCCACTGGCTTCATTTTTCTTCAAAATGTGAATTTGATAGCTTGTTTCATTGGGATTTCCTTCTTTGTAGGCAACACAAATGTCACACTGATCTTTATTATAGAATTTTATTGCATTCCTAAAATTTCTAAGAATTTCTTTCATTGAACAGCTAGAAACTCATTTTCCTGGCACCAAAAAGAATAAACGGAATGCATTTTTGTCAATGATTGCACTGCATCGTCAACATATATCCTTTGCGTGGCAATAATGGCTAGGAACCTTTGGTAGAACATCTAACCACTCCGTTACCGAATCTGACTTCAATGTTTTTTGTTTGATCTGGTTTGAATTATTAATTGGCAATGTCATTAATTCTGTTGTTTGTTGCGTGGCATCTTCTGCTCTTATCCAATCTGTGAAATAATCTTTTTTAATATCTAGTGTCGCTAGTAAAAAGTCTCTGCAAACTCTCACTTTGATACCCTTATGTCTAGGCAAATAACAATCAATGCCATTGTTTCTTTTATGATCTAGTTCTGTTAAATCTTCTGATGTCTTGCTTCACTTGTTAATAGTTCGCACTGTAACCAGACCAGATAATGGATGAACGCTTAGCTTCCCAGGATTATAATGGCCAGAAATAATTGAAAACATCAATGTTCATTTATATTTATATATTTCATTACC